AAGATGGAGAGAACAGAACTGTCTGCTTCTCTGGATGTGGGGTGTGAGCAAAAGAGAAAAAAAGAGAGAGAATTCAGCCTGGGCAATTTGCAGGACGGAGCCATCATGAACTCGGGTGGCAGGCCAGGGGAGAAGCCGGTTTCAGAAATGATCAGGAGCTCAGCTCAGGCTGCGTGCGACTCAAGATGTCCGGCAGCCATCCAGGTGGTGGTGCGAAACGGGCCGTTCATCCTCTGGCACAGGTGCGGCTGTGATCTCACAGGCTCCCAGGACCCACGGGGGGAGTGGGCATCACCCGCTCCACTGGGGAAGCAGACGGGAAGGGACATGAGGGTGGAGTGAAGGTTTCTGGGAACAGATCCCCATTTTCCACCGCACTTTGAGGCGGGCAGGAATCAAATTTTAAAAGCACTGGGCCATGCTCGGTAATAGACACAGTTATCCCTGGTTCCGTTTTGTTTAATCCGATTCCCTTCAAGACATGAACTCGCCCTCGGCCCGCGGGAAGCCGGCCGATACGAACTCGCTCTAGGATGACCACCCCCCTCCCCGCAGTAGCCCAACAGGCCGGGGACGGGGAATCCATTGCGGCCTTGTCGGGAGTGAAGGTGAGGGCTGCGATCAGTTCAGTCACCGGAGAGCAATACCCTCTCCTGGCCGCGGGCCTTCTCCAGGGCAGCCCCGGCTGGGCCCGGCCAATGTGGATTCCTTCCCAGCAGCCCCGCTGAGCCGCGGACCCCCGCCGCGCCCGCTGGGCCGCGCTCGCCCCGCTACCGGGGCCGCGGAGCAGGAGTCCGACACCTGTGCCCCGCGGTGGGGCCCGGACGCCTTTCCTCAGTCAGGAAACTTGGGCAAACGCTCAGAGGCAAGCGCCCGGCTCCGTCGCGCCTACGCAGCCCACGAAAGGACTTCGCTCGGTTCTGGGAGGGGGCCCCGCGCTTCCCGCGGGCCGAGGGCGTGGGCGTGGAGGGAAGGAGGGGCCGCGTGGGCGGTTGGCCCACCCCTTTATTCCCGGCCCGCAGCTCGGCCGAGGGTGACCAGATGTGCTGGTGACAGGTCGCTCCTCAGAGGTGCAGGCGGGAGCCCAGAGCCCGCTCTGGGGCTGCTGCGCTCGGCGCTGCTGCTGTCGGACCGGACGCGGCGTCCGCGAACTGAGCTCGCTCCCTGCCGCCGCCCAGGAAGTGCAGGTTAGGAAACGCAGCCCGGTTGGGGACCCCGGAGGAGGGGCGCGAGCCAGCCCCCGGGGAGACAGGGAGAGGAGCCACCGGCCTCCGCGCCCGGGCAGAGGGAGGACGGCGCGCTCCGGCTCGCCGCCGGGCCGCTCACGAGGAACCCGTGTTACTGCAGAAGCCGCAGGTGTCTGCCCCGGGATAACCCCGCGCTGCGAGAGGCCAGGCCGGCCCAGCTCCCGCGGGGGCTCCGCCGGTCCGAGGCCAGAGAGGCGGGAGACTGGCTGGCGCGCCCGGGCTCCTCGGCGGGCGGCACAGACAGGGTCCGCACCTGGGCGGGGGCGGGGGGCGGGGGAATGCAAGGAGGAGGAGGGGGCGGGGGCCCGCCAGGCGGAGGGGGGCCGCTAGGCCAGGAGCGGGGCGGGTGCAGTTCGGCAGTCGCCACCTGAGAGCCCTGGTCCCCACTGCCGCCACAGCGGGTCGCCTTGGCCGTCTGGGCGGGAGCCAGCGGGCAGACGCGGCGGCCGTGAGACCGGCGCTCCTCTGCCCGCAGCCGTCCGCGGAAGGTGAGCACCCTTCCGGGGCGAGGGGGAGGAGGCCGGGCCGCTGCTCGAGGTCGGTCTCTGCCGAGGACGGGAAAAGGGGGAGGGGGGATGGAACTGGCTACTTGACGCTGACACCCCGGTCCGGATGACGATCGGGGGTCCTTCGGGGAGCTGCCATCTCTCTCATTCTCTTTCTCTCGCCAGGGCCTCTCGGGGATTCGGTATCTCCCTGTCTCTCGTCTCCCTCGGTCTCGGTCCGTCTGGAGCGCTCTCCGGCCCTGTCGCCGGTGAGTGCTGGCTCTCCCGCTCTCCCTGCTCGTTCCGCGTCCGTCAGGGGCGCGCGCCGCTCACCAGCTCGCTCGGCCCAGAAGCGGGAAGTCTACCTGCCGTGAGCCGGCTTCCCGAGCGCGCGGGGCTCCGCCTGCCGCCCTCGGGCGAGCTCCATCCGCTCGTGCCCGGGGGCGCACGGCCACCCCGCTGTCGCCTCTGGCCAGCAGCGCACCGTCTAGGCGGGCCACCTGCCACCTAAGGCACCGACCGCCTCCCGCCGCGTGCGGAGCCACCGAGGTGAGTGCGCGCGTGCCCCTTCCTTCCCTCCCGCTGCTGCCCGGCTGCCCTGGCTCGAGTTGAGTGGAGAAACGAGGCAACCGCGGCGAAGCCAGCCTGCGGCCGCTTTCCCTTCCAAAGAGTGGCCGGAGGGTCCGGTAGGCCCCTCGGGCGGCCGCCGCGCTTCTGCTAACCCCGGCCCCCTCCGGGCCTGGAAACTCGGCGTTTCGGGGCTCGGGGCCGGCGGGGTCGCGGGCGGGGCGGCGTGGCTTCCCCTTTAAGGCCAGAGCCGCTCGTCGCCGCGAGTGTGAGGGTGTGTGAGTGTGCGGCGTGCGTGTCTCCTCCTCCCCGAGTGACACAGCAGTGAGAAATGCCTATCAGTAACTTAAACCCCCGAAACTCCACCTTCCGGGCGCGCGGCGCGGAGCCGGGCGGTGGGAATGGAGCGAGCAGATTGAGGCCGCCGCTGCAGCGCCGCCGGCATGAACTTGGCTGCGCGCTGAAGCGGCCGGAGGCGGGCGGGCGCGGGGGCACCGGCCGCTAGCCAGAGGTGATCTGCAATCGGGCCGGGCCGCTCGGCGGGCGCCGGAGGCCAGGCTGCCCGCGCCGGTGGCCGCCCGCCCCTCGGGCACTGCCCCCGCCGCCGCCGCGGGAGCTCCGCAGCACGGTAAGGCTGAGGGCGGGCGCGGGAGGTCCGACTGCTCTGGGGGCGCCGGGCTGCACTTGTGGCCCGCACTTGTGGTCCCCGTCGCGGAGAAGCGGGGGCCCGGGGATACTGAGAGCCGGGGGACCCCGAAGTTTGCTCCGAGCACACGGCCCACCTGGCGCTGCGCGTGGTCGCCCCCTTCTCGGACTGGCTGGGCCGAGCTCAGCGCAGCTCGCATCGCCCGGGACTATGGCCTGTGCCTGCACCCCGGCGCCCGCCGGGCGTCTGGAATCGGGTAGGGGCAGTCGAGTACCGAGGAGGGAAGGCAGAGGGGCGCGGGCCACGAGGGCTCCCCCGGCCGCGCCGGGCTACCGGGAGGCTCCCGCTCCGACCCGGCGCACCCCGGGCCGCTCGCAGCCCGGATGCCACCGGCGACGCTGCCTTCGCACACCGGCTCCCAGAGCTCGGGCCAGTCGGCAGTGGGCGCTGGGCGCAGGATTTCCCCCAACCCCACCCGTACCCAGTTTGCCGCCACCGAGCGGGAGTGTGGAGTGTGCGCGCGCCGAGCCCGCCGCCTTTCGCTCCCTCCCCTGCCAAATTCTCCTCTGGAGAGCAGCCCTGAGCAGAGCTGGCGGCTCGAGGCAGCCCCGACTGGGCTCCTGCCCGGAGCTCCCAGCGCCCCCGCGCCCCGAGCTCCCAGGCCTCGGAGCGGCAGCACAGCCCGGCGCCCGGCGCCAGCGAGGGCGGGCGGGAAGCCCCCCGGAGCGCCGCCAAATACTTTTCACGGCCAGTTGGCTCGGCCAGGCTCCGTCCCGATGCAGCGTGTCCGAAGCCGCTTGGAAAGCTGGCCATACGGCCTGATTTTGATCCGTGATTAAATTCGGACTGAGCAGACACTAATAGGATTAGCTTGCAGAAAACTGCCCTGAAGTCGTCGGAACCTGAGCAAACAGACGCACTTCGGGCCGGGGGCTTCGCCCCGCCGCGCTTCTGCAGCTGGGTGCGGCCGAGCGGGACACCCCGAGTGTGGGTGGGAGTGTGTGCGCGGGCGGGAGCACAGGATGGCTGAGGGAGGTGGAGAGAAGCGACTCCACTTGCTGGGGTGGCTTGTCGTTTTTTGGCAGCAGGAAGAATTCTGCCCCCCCACCCGGCCCCAGGGCGCCGTCCCCACGGCGAACGTGCCCTTTGCGGGTAGCCAACCAAGGCCAGCTCCGGGACATTGTGAGGGCGAGCGAGCTGGGCGTACGAGAGGCGGCCGCGCTGGAACAAAGACGCAAAGTCTCCCCGAGCCTGAGCAATTTCGAAAGAGTTGGTTGGGAAGAGGGCCCGAGTCTCCCGGGGGAGACCCCCGCGGGGATCGCGCCGCCCCCGCCGGCCCGGGCCCCGCGGCCGGGCGATCCCGTTCCCAGGCTGCGGCAAGCCGGAGGGCAGCATCGCAGCGGGGCAGCCCAGCCCTCCGCAGGCGTGGGCCGCCTCCCGGGTGCCCACGGGCCGGGTGGTGTCGGCCTCGCTCCCGCTGGGGCTTCCCGGCCGCCGCCGCCGCTCGGGGCTCCCGGAGGCCGCGCAGCTTCTTCCCCCACTCCACCTCTTCTTGTCTTTATAGATTCCCCCCTCCCTCCCACCCCCGCCGCCGTTGCTGCCGCCGACAATCCGCTTTATAAAAAGCCCCTTTGTTTCCCTGGAGGCTGGAGAGAGGGAAGGGAAAAGGGACGCAGAGGCAGGGGGCGGGGGCGAGCCGCCCGGGACAGGAGGGCAAGTGTAGGCGGTGGGAAGGAGGCTGGGTCTCGAATCCCCTCCGCAGGAACCCCAGAAGGCGTGGGGAGCCCCCGGCTCCTGGCGCCTGCAGCGGGCCCGGCAGCCGGGCGGTGGACACCCGGGGCCCCCGCGGCCCGGAAGGCTGGGCTGGCGGCTCGGCTAGCGGGCGGGCGCGGAGGCCAGAGGCGGCGCACGCTCGGCGGGTTGGGCAGACGCCGCTCGCCGCTGCGCTCGCCGGGCGCGGGCATAGGGGGCGCTCTTTCCTCGGTTTCGCTTTGCAGCCCGCGCCCCTCGCCGCCTAGACTCAGGGCGGCTGTCGCACCTGCCGGTGGCCAAGACGACGGCTGAGACGACGGCGGCGACTCTGAGGCTAACGCCACCCCGCGGCTGCGCTCCTCACTCCTCCCGCGCCCTCCTGCCACCCCCAGCCCCCTACACAGGGGCTCAAACGCTCCGCGGGGCCTCTTTGTTTGCACGGAGGGAGGGCGTTGGAACTGCCACCTCCGAGGTTCGTGTAGCTCGGGCAGGCGGTAGGGACGAGGATGCACCTCCGGAACGTGCGTCAGCCTACCGCCTCTGACGGAGCCAAGGCCCTGCACTTGGGGGTGTCCAGGACCCACGGGTTCCCGGCATTAGCTGGAGTGAGGATTCAGCCGGCCCCTATCCCTTACACCTGCCCTGCCCCCCAAACTTGCGGGAACTCGGAATTGCGCGGAGGAATGTTAAACATAATGTTTGGAGTAACCTTTAGCCAGCCCGTCGGCCTGGCCGGCCCCGCCCCCGACCCCCGGACCGGTCCGCCTCTCTACTTGTAAAGTTTGTTCGGAAGGGGAATACTGACAATAAGAAAAATTGACAAATAAGGAGAAGTGGGCGGGGCCCAAACTCGACTGGTAGGTCTCCTGAGCGAAGTCAAATTCCTCCCGGTCTCTCGCCAGCTCCACCCCCTCTTCCCATTTAATCTCCCGGCGATACAGTGTGTGTGCCTTTTCACATATCTTTCCCCTGCTCCGCTCTCCTCCAATCTCTGGAGGGTATTCGTAAGTGCTGGTCGAACATTTGTTCTCTGGTCTTTGGAACAGAAGGAAGCGTTAACTCCCCCCCCCCCCAAACACACACATCCCAACTGCATCTAAAACCACAAGAAAGTACTCAAAGGGTAAACTGTGGGCTCTACCTTCTCCTCCCCCTCTGTGCTTCCCTTCTGGAACACGATCATTGGAAAATAAAGCTGCTGATGTGCGAGATGGAACATATGGTGCCTCCGTAAGAGAGAAGCTGAAATGGCCTTGAACCTGCCGGACAGACCAGCTGTTTGCTGCCAGCCAGAGCAGCTAATCAGCGTCTTCCCCTTAAAGTAACAGCCCTCTTTTCTCTTGATGACCAGTTTGCATATTAAATAGGATATTCTCCAGAGGAGAAACGTGATGGGCTCCTATATTGCTTTGTGCTTTGGTAGTTCTCCAAAGCTGGTCCCCTGCCCTGAGGGCTGCCTTGGCCTCCCCCCACTCGTGCCTCCAGCGTTTGAGTGTGTTTCCTTCCACACTGATGTACTAACGTTGCCCAAAGTGGAACTTGGGAAGGAGGCGGGAAAGGGGAAAGAGAGCCAGGCTCAGAGATTCCCAGATGCCCAGGAGGAAGTCTCTGTTTTGTTGGTACTGGCTTTAGAAAAACTAGCAGTTCTCTCCCCACCCCTTAAAAATACCACAGAGAGCTGCAGCTCTTCCTTATAAGATCTGCTTAAACATCATCCTCTTCCGGCTGTGACCATTTTCAGTTTTCCTTCAGTACAGTGTGTTTGAGAAGGGGCGGGGGGAACAGTTTGGCATTGGAAGAAGAAAGGCTTGAGGAGATACGAGGAAATTCCATGTTAGGAAATCATTAGCAAAGGGTGACTTCGTCTGTTTTCCTGCCACTGACGCTCACAGTGACACAGATGTGTGGGTTGAAACAGGAACGTCATTGAATTTTTAAACTCAACCAGAAAATAGCCTGTTGCTTGGGTGGGAGCGGGGCCATACATTCACTGCATCTTAAGGTAGATTTACTGTTGTTGATTCTTTTCACTAAGGAAAGGGATTTTGTCAAGCTTAGCCAGCACATTTAATATCCTTTTTTCCCTTTTAAGTGGATCACCCAAAGGCTTAAAATGCACCTGTTAATAGATCATCCCTAGGAAACTCAACTGCTGTCTGTTTAGGCTTCTGAAATGGGCAGAAACTGATCTTAGGCAAGTGGTCCTTCTGACAGTAGAACCACTCTCCTCCTTTAAGGGGGCTTCCTATCTGCAGTAAACTTTTTTACGATTCTGATTTTTTCTTTCTGCAGCGCTGCATCGGAGAGATAATTAGCCTAGGAGCTGGGAAACTTGTGTTCTAGAACAGTCTCCCAACTAATTAGCACAGTGGTCTTGGGCAAGTCAGTCCTCCCTCCTTGTCCCTCTACCACCACGACCTCGGAGTCCGAGTCCCTTCCAGCTCTAACATACTGTGATTTGTGAATGAAATAGTCATTTTCTGGGAAACTGAAATGCTGTCGGGGATAGCAGCTAGATAGATAAAGAAATGGGACTGAGATTTTGAGGGGCAGCGAGAAGAGGGAGGAGGAAAAAAGGACAGAA